CTGCAGTGTGGCTGTTGAGTCTGTGATTGTTGCAATCACTGCAAGGCAGATGAATCCCTCAAATCTGTTGAAAAGGTAGATGAAAACCTTCAAGTCCGGTTCCTGTCTCCTTTTATCTATTTCAGCTCCAGGCTTTTAACTCTGGGAATTCTTCAGTGCAACTTGCTTATCTGTGACCATATGGGCCCCAAAGATGAGTCAAATGTTAAACACCTTGTGAAGCTGTTCTATTCCTCAGAAAAGCCACAGCTCTCCACAAAGTGCATCATCCACCTGCTCTGACTGATATTACTTAACAGGATAGTTTCTTTTGAATGCTTCTGTATTTATCACTCATAATGCACACCATATTACCACTTCCTACCATAAAATTAATAACCTTGCACTCTCGATTTCTGTTGGAAATTTCTTGTTTGGTCTCTTCACCCTTTGGCCAGAACTTTCATTTTATGTCATTAAGACATTATAGTTCAAAATGTTAATGTCATTAGACAGCACATCAAGATTTATGCCTGATGTTGATGGCTCTCTCAAAATGCTGTTGATGAAGCTAAACTTCTAAAACTAAGATGAATTCAGATTATTTTTGTCATCACCCTGTATGCCATTATTTTAATAACATACAGGCCTTTAAGTCATTACCATTAGTTCCCATAAATTAAAGAAAACTATGTAATACTGTTCCCTCCTTTTTCAAATGGCATAAACATAATGGAAAGTCTTTTTAGAAAGACCTTTTTCTTCTCCAAAAGGCTTTTTATTAAAAAAGGTACAGATTGTTGAGTAAAATTTGCATGATTAGGAAACTGCATAAAATAAATAGCCTATAACCTGAAGAAAGTCTGCTAAGCCTGAGTTATATTTCTTGGACATGAAACCTTCATAGCAGTTTGCTCTTAAACCTACACAAATAAGAAATGAGTAAGCACTATTTCTGCCAGGTTGTGAAAAAGAAACTGTTTTTTACGGCAAAAATTGGGCTGTCTTTTGCCATGAATAATTCTAACAGTCAAATTCCTTACTCACAAGCTTTGATTAACCTATGTAAATATACAGAACTGTAGCTATCAAAAGCACAGAGCAGGTGGACAATTCAGCATGGTAAATCTACAGAGCAGCACGCCTTGCCCTTTTTCTGACATCTTCTCACCTTTTTGCCATCCTGTTGTGTTTCATATACTTTTAGCTGTTACCCTGCCACCAATGCTCAGAAGCACTCTGGTGTCAGGAACTTGCACAGCCACCGCACTCTCAATGAGTCTGTGGGAGCTCATCTGCAAGGAAGTCTCCAGACAGAACGATTACCTGATTAAGAAAGCAGCTGTCTGGTCACTGCCTAATCATTTCTTGTTCTAAAAAGGTTTTCCACATACATGAACACTGTTGTGATTCTGCTACTTAATTTATTGTCTCTTCATCCCCGCTGAGCTACCACGTAACGATACCTACATGCATGGGGGCAAAGCCCCAGAAGCAGAGGAAAAGCTGACAGGGCAAGCAGAGGTTTTTCTTGAGTACAGTGTTGGTTGCTCCCCAGGTGCTTTCTGCTGAAAAGCCTGATGGAGCCAGGACTGTCCCATAAGGGGACACCTTGCTTATCACACGCTATGAGATGTCCAAGCCTGTGACCAGAGGGTAGGCTTCAAAATAAAACGGGAAGTTTAGATTGGATATAAGAAAGAAGTTCTTATACTGTGAGGGTGGTGAGGCACTGGAATGTGTTGCCCAAAGAAGTGGTGCCCCATCTCTGGCAGTGTTCAAGGCCAGGTTGGACAGAGCCTTCAGTGACATGGTTTAATGTGAGGTGCTCCTGCCCATGGCAGGGGGTTGGAACTAGCTGATCTTAAGATCCTTTCCAATTCAAACCATTTTATGATTCTATGATTCTGTGACATCACCACAAGCAAAAAGGAGTCAATGGGGTCAAGCCTAATGGACAGCCCTGACCATTCAGCCACATTTTTTGCCCTTTGGATGACAGCAGCAGCACAGGGACTCCTCCTTGAGAAAGGGATGCTCCTCATCCATACCTGCTAATCTAGAAGCAGGAGCCAGCACAAGCCCGAGGCAGACCTCATGTAGATGAGGAGGAGGAAAGAAGGATGGGGGGCTGTGGAGCGGTGTTTAGCATTCAGGGCTACTTGTTATGAGGGCTTTGACTATCTTGGGAGGCTGAGGGTATTGCTTATAAGGTATTGCTTATATCCTTAGTCTTAACTTCTTGTCTATATGGGAGGCACGCTAGTGGTATTTATGTATTTTAGTATTTTCACATCCTGACCATTTCCAAGAGACACATGGATACTCTGCATGTGGATTAATGCTGATGAATAGCCCTCCAGCATCTCTTAACCTGAAAGGGGACAAGGGAATGTCACTTATGGGATGTCAAATCCCTCATGTATGTGCAGTGCATGCCAGGGGTACAGACAGGAGGCTAATTGGTGCAAACTTCAGGACAAGTGTTTGCCCTAATGTTCTACCAGGTTCTTCATTATTATGGTGTAAGTAATCAACACTTGCTCTAACACAGACCACTGCCTCAAACTGGTCATCAAAGCATGCAGCCAGTGACAGGCAGGATTACAAAATCTGCCTCACAATCCCGGCCATATGAACCCCAAATCTTCCACCTAAACACTGTTAAATGACTTCTAGCTGCAAAAATGGATGAGCTCTACCTACACATCCCTGTTTCAGACTGCAGCCTTTTTGGCAGAAACCTCTCTGTGGTCTGCAGGAATCATCAGATCCATCAAACTGCTCCATCAGCAGTGTTGGGAATGGCAAGCTGCAGCTGCAGCCCACCTTGTGCAGAGATCAGACACCACTGGAGGGAATTAAGTACTTATGCCTTGTTGTCTCAGTAGGATATTTGCTCAGTAGGATGCAAGGCAGGCTTTCCTGGCATCCGAAAGGCCAGATGAAGGACTCCAGCAAAGTGTAGAGCTGGTAGAGCACCCTGCACATGCTGGTATCTTACTATGTCCCCACCATTCATGGGGGTGCTGGTTTCCACTCATGCTGCTGCTGTCTTCCAGGGCAGTGGTGGTGGCAGCAACATGTGCAGGTGGGGAAATGCTGGGGGGGGGAGGGGAGGCAGATCCAGAGGGATTTAGACCTGCCCTGTTGTTTCTTATAAGAAGCTTTTTGTGATGTGAGGGGAAAAGGACGTTCTTTTTAGAAGACAAGCTGCCTTTTTTGATTTTCATTTGAAAGACAGTTTAAAAAGTGGTGAACAATAGGCTTATATGAAGGGCAAAGTTTTTGCTGAGTTCTGGTTTGCTTTGAAGCTAGTGGTGTGGTACATGTCTGTGTTTAATCCAAGGAAAATGAGCTGCTGAATGATTTTGTCTGACATGCTGAGGACCAAATGTTCTGGCAGGAGCTTGTGCCAGCGACGTGAGAGGTGATGAGTCTCCAGAAGCTCCTTTTTGCTTGTAAGATGCCAAAACAGATGAGGTTCTTTGATGCAAGTAGTTGTAGGGCTCATGAGTTCTGTATGGTATAGACAAATCAGACACTGTGCTGAGGCCAAAAGCACTTGTGGCACAGCTGTGAATGCCCTTCTGATAAGTATTTTAATTTTCAAATGCAGATGAATATTATCCTTATAGAAGATGGACACAGTGGCAATCCTTGAAACCTATGCCCTCAGTTTACCTGCACAACAGATGTACACATGCAATTGCAAGCAACATGGACTTCCCTTAACCCCCAACATTAGCAGGCTCTAACCAGGTCTGGAACTGTATGTAAAGTTCAGTCTTCAAGTCCACTCATCTTTGCGCTGAGTGAGCTGACTGTCTGCAGTTCAGCAACCTGGAGCCACTACGTGGTGGCTTTCGGATACATGGCTAATGGCTCTCCTGGAGCAGGACTGAGCTGTTTTTGTACAACCCAGGCTGCCAAACAGCTTTTGACTTCCAATCCAGTGCTGAAGGGCTCCTAATATCCTTGGTATTATTAGAGGCAACCTACAATATTACAAAGGTGGTGGATGAGCTGAATGCAGAATCCTTCACTAGGGGACATTCGGTGAAACTAGCAGGGGATCAATTGGAAACAGATAAAAGAAAGTACTTCTTTAGCAGTCAGTAGTGAGCTTCAGGAACTTGCTGCCACACGGTGCTGTAGAAGCCAACAGTGTCAGCAGTTTTCAGAAGGGATTAGACACATACAGGGACAACAGGCCCATTAAAAAGACAAGGCAGGGACATGCCTTCTGTGGTGTCCATCACATCGGTTACACACCTGTGGATCCTGGGGAAGCACAATGGGAAGGGGCTGCAGAAATCAGCCAGGCTTGCACACACTCCACACTCACCGAACAGCATTTCTCCTCTCAAAGCTGTGTGATAAAATTACTGGCCTGAGCAAGTTTCATGTTCTTAATCCAGAAATGTGTTTTATCCCCAACCCACTGCATGAATATTCAGTTACTGCAACATCTGAGAGTCCCATGAGCTGACTAATGAGCTCAAAGCAACACAATCAAACAAGAACTAGTATTCTTCTTCATTCCTGGCTCTGATCTTAGACCACTGGTGCCTTGACATATAGGTGGTCCCATTACACATCTCATTACCAGTCTTGCAAGTCAATACCTCCTTTACTGTGTTACAGCCCTATCACAGTGAAAAATCCTAAGGGAATCAAATGAACAAATCTTGCATGGGGTACAGAAACAGATAGAGATAGTGAAATTTAAATGCTAATGAAATAATGTGCAACTGAATAACACAAAAACATCCTATCTACACCTTTAAAAACTAAGGATAAATCATGCATAGTGCAGCAATTATGGCAATTTCGAGCTCTTACAATTTGGAGGCTGAAAATCCAGACTTCCTCTGCCCCTTTCATTTCTTCTTACCCAGCAACTTATGAAGCAATCCATCATACCAACTTTTAAGTATAAAATAAAATGAAACCAATAATTGTTTTTAAGTAATTGCCCTCAAGGCCACCCAATAATAGTGTTTCTAAAGCAGTCCTACCTTTGTTTTCCAACTTGAGCTCTTCTGCTAGCAAGCTGTCTTGTCTGTTGCCAAGCACAAATGCCAGAAATGAGAGGATCAGGGCATCCAAGATTCCAATAATTGCCAGGATATATGCCCAGCGGACTGAACAAGCCCCCAGCGTGTACTTGTCTGTCTTTTCACCACACATCCGTTTTACCTCATCTGAATCCCAGCCATCAGGAAAAATCATACAACCCAGGACGAGACAGGCAGCTTCGAGAAAAAAGAAAAGGAGAACAATGGGATAATGAGACCAAACTTCCATTTTGATAAGAACCTACATAGTTATCAGTAAAGCAACACACTTTTTCATCCTGAGCTTCAAAGCTACGTTACTTAAAAACAAGTCACGGAATGATAAGCTATGATTAAGCATTCAATACAAAAAACTCTAAGACACAATATCAAATGTGCTTAAAAAAATAAAGTTACATCCTGAATCATGGACAGTTTTTTTTCCAGAACTATCTCGCTTTCCTTGTGATGCTGATTTATTCATTTGTAACACAAGAGAAAAGGGAAAAATTATTAATAACCTGGATATCCAAAGGAAACAGTGGATTACTGTCAAATGGTCAGGCAAACTAACCAGAGGAAAATAGAGGAAAACTCCACCTATTTCTGTTAATCCAAGTACTTGTAACAAGCATAGGTAATGGCAACGGGATTTTTTTTGTCAGTTGGCAGTACCCCTTTAACTGAAAAATGTTTTATGCATAAGGTTTATACTCCTCAAAAAACACAGGTAATGACATTGTTCTGCAAGGAAAAATAAGCTGTCAACATTGCTGTCAACTTCTGATCCGGTTTACCTGAGGAATCACCACATGGCATCTCAAACATGAAAAAGTGCTAATCCTTTTAACAGCAGGAGAAATGAAAAGCCTCTTCCCGCATGGAAAGCCAGCTGACACCGACCACTAGCTGCTGCGGGTAGGGGCAGCCATACTGTGACGGGGACAAAGGGTAGGTGTTTGAGTGCTCATCCTTCAGCCTGTGTGACTGCTAAAGGCTGACTTCATTTTTAAGTAGCAGAAATCTGCTTTGACCCTTGATTCCCAGGGAAACTGCCCTGCTGTGGGATAGCAGGTACTGCCACAGCCCAATGTGGCTCTTGTGGAGCAGGCAAAACAGTGTGACAAATCTGTATGTGCTCCATCACCTGAAGCCACCTGAGTCACCGGAGTCAATGGTGCCCACTGGCCAGCAGTTGATGTGATGTCCCCTGCCTAGATGGTGCCAGGGTGAGGGCTGTGCCCAGCCACCCACACCTTGGGTGGGACATGTGTGCTCTTGGGCAAGAGACCTCAAGGTCACAGCCACTGCCTCAGCATCTTATGAGACCAAGGTCTGGCACATGACCTGCAGTTCAGACACGTACTGTGGTCACTGATGAGTAGCCTCCTTGGAGGTTGTTTGCCCCTTTTCCTACTGGAGTGTCTGTGTTGGGGTGGGATGACAGGCATGCAGCACCAGGATGGGAGGATACGACGTGTCCTGAAGTGGTGACACGTCATTACGAAAACACACAAAAAGGCAAACCCACACACTGAATCTTCACTAACATGGTCCCTCCCCACTCAGTCACTATCTGAGAAAATCCATGGGCTGAGAAGATATGCCAGTATACCAGCCTCACAGGACTGGACCAAATGTACCTCTGCATCAGACCTGGCTTCTCACTGCCTGCAGGAACTGTCACTGGGCACAGCTGAAGGCAAGACATGTACGCTGCCAGATCCCTCTGGACAATGCCTTTCCCGGAGAAACTCCATGCAGGTAGACCCTGTTGTGAGTGGGGTGAGGGACCTGGTGGTCTCCAGAGGTCCTGTCCAATCTGTGGCAGGAAGGCAGCATGTTGGTAACAGGGGACAGAGCAGTTGGGTACTCATGGCACATTTCCTACCAGAGCAGTGGGAATAGCACACAGGTATGACTGACTGCAGCCCTTGGTCAGACTGATGGATTTGTTGGCTTCACTGAAGCAATCAACAAGAGCGCAGCGCTAGCCAGGGCAATGGCATAGGGACATCTTCAGCAGGGGAGGATAGGATATAAAAATTAAGTAAGATAGTTTTTATTGCATTTAGAAGAATCAGAAAATCCATATGCTTTGAGCAATTGTCTGTACTGCCTTTCCTAAGTTGGAAGCAAGAATATTTTCATCATTAGCCCTTCTTTCTTAGTATGGCTCATGAGATACAATGGATCCTAAACCACCTTTTATAAGTATTGATATCGTATTGGTGCACTGTGTTCTAAATTGCAGGTAAAGTTGCTAATTTAAAGAATATATTCTGTGGCTTTTATCCTTTCAAACAGTTTTTGAGCCAAACCTCTGTTTGGAAACCACAGTTTATACACCAAGCAGTTTGTGCAACCAACAGCTGCCACCACTGTGGGAAATGCAGTAAGTTCTTGTCTTTTCTGGACAAGCATAAGCACTGTCATTTTTATACAACTCTAATGCCCACAAAATAAAACCACGCCTGCACTGAATGAATATAATGAAATACTGAGAGAGATGTGAAAACAGAGCTCAGGAATGGCTGTTTCCTTTTGACAACTACACAATTGCAGTTAACAAAGCCTTGAAAGCATGTCTGCAGAAAGCATTTGACGTACAATAAAAGCTGCACCTAAGGCATTTGACAAATTCTTCCTGAGCAGTTGATTTGTGTGAAAATATAACAGCTTATAATATTTTCAAGGACAATTATGCTTAGAAACAAGGACAATTAGATAATGACTCATTTACTCAGAACATGCAGGTAGGACAAATTGTAAGCTGCCTATTGCCTGCCTTAACTTACTTACACAATTTCATAAGATCTTCCAAAGATCTTAGAGACAAACTGTACAATAATTTACTTTCTTGAGCTGCTTACCTACACTTCCAGAAAGATTATATCTTGCAGACAACACATAAGCATTGCCTTCACACTTACGAGGGACTCCACTGGAGTGATGCAGCAAATCTGCATACTCCTGGTATTTGTAAAAATGTCCACATTTACCCAGGTAACTGTTGACAAAAGTTTGATTTACGAGGTAACAGCAACCACCAAAGCCAGTTTACATTTATTAACCATCCTCAAAATGAAAGGAAGCTTAATGCTCAGTTAATGATCAATAGATGTGGGATTTTTCTGCTAATCGTGCAAGAATAATTAGCAAATACTGACATCTCCGTGGTTTTTTATTGTATATCACATCATACATATGTTCTTAGTATTTCCTAAAAATAATTTAACTTTGTTCTTTTCCGCCTAGGTAATTAAAAATATGGGCCCTTATCTCATGAACTCAGTGCACAGCTTCCCATCTGTGTTCCTCAAACTTCCAATTAACTCATCTTTCCTGAATTCTGCTCCTGCATACCTTGATATTCTTGCTTAACTTTCTGGAGTAATTCTGTTGGTTGCAGTTGGACTTCTCTTGGTAATCAGACACACAGGTAAATGGTGGCTGGACTATATCCCTTTGCATAAAGTTTAGGTGCTTTCTACTGGATGACTACTTGGTCAACAGATGCAGGAATCATACTTTACCTGTAGAGGTTAACATAAATACGACTAGTCAACCTTGAGTTTTCACTTGCTGAGAAAATTATTTCACACTGAATGCCTTTAAGAATCCAGACTTGCTCAACAATATGAAACAGATAATGATTCATTTATCAGCTAAAAGACTTAAAAGACAGGTAGAAAATCCACCTACAGATCTACTTTGTATTGCTAGAAATTTTTACATTTTAATCCTTATAAAGAGGATTAGAAGATTTTTCTCCACAAGGAAATTACTTTCAGCTTTATACAAATTTGAAAAATGGAAACCATTTTATGCAATTTCAGTGAAACTCCTAAGAGATGATTTTATAATACAGGCATGGGTCCCACATCCTCGTCTAAACTTCCACTGTCACTAATGTGACTGAAATGGAAATGCAACAAAGGCTACTACTGTTTTACTACTATCCAGTTCTAATAAATTCAGAAACTTTTGTGTTTGGAAAGATGCCTATTCAATGAAAAGAATTAAATCGTCAGTTCCTATAGACATTTCAGTTAAAGTAAGAAGAAAGTTAAATCTATACTGGTTGAAGACAGTCTTCTGTGTGTGAGCTGAATACGTCGGATTAGCATCATCTTTCTGAGCGTGCAGACAGCCCAGCCTAGGACCTCTGTAGCTAAGCAAGACCTTTCATGAGAAGCAGCAGGGGGAAATTGATAGAAGACTGATTAGTGTCACTGACACCATTCTCTATTTGCCTCTATTTGGGTAACCATAAAACTTACAAGAATCATATCCACGTCATTTTCCCTTTGGTTGCTTGAGAAAGCTCCTAGCAGGAATGGCCTTTGTAGTGATGGCTAAGTAATGACTGGCTTCCTCCAGTCCTTCCTCTTCTTCTATGACAGGGTGGCCTGCTTAATGAATGAAGGAAAGGCTGTGGATGTTGCCTACTTTTAGACTTTAGCAAAGCCTTTGACATGGTTTCCCACAGCATTCTCCTGGAAAAACTGGCTGTTCATGTCTTGGATGGGTGTACTTTTTGCTGAGTAAAAGCTGGCTGTATGACCAAGCCCAAAGAGTGGTGGTGAATGGAGTTAAATCCAGCTGGTGGTTGGTCACAAGTGGTGTTCCCCAGGGCTCAGTATCTGGGCCAGCTCTGTTCAGTATCTTTATCAATGATCTGGACAAGGGGATCGAGTGTACCCTCAGTAAGTTTGTAGATGACACCAAGTGTTGATCTGCTTGAAGGAAGGAAGGCTCTGCAGAGGGATCTGGACAGGCTGGCTCAATGGGCCAAAGCCAATTGTATGAGATTCAACATAACAAAGTGCCAGGTCCTGTACTTGGGTCACAACAACCCCTTTCAGTGCTACAGGCTTGGGGAAGAGTGGCTGGAAAGCTGCTTGGTGAAAAAGGACCTGGGGGTGTTGATTGATGGCTGCTGAACATGAGCCAGCTTGTGCCCAGGCAGCCAAGAAGCCCAAGAGCATCCTGGCCTGTATCAGAAATAGTGTAGCCAGCAGGGCCAGTGAAGTGATTGTTCCCCTGTACTCAGCACCGGTGAGGCCACATCTTGAATACTATGTTGAGCTCTGGGCCGCTCCCTACAACAGAGATCTTAAGGTTCTGGAGTCCAGAGAAGGGCAACAAAGCTGGTGAAGGGTCTAGAGAACAAGTCTTATGACAGAACTGTATTT